TTGAAAGAACAAATCTTTTGATTTTTAAGATTTGACTATTTGAGCCAGGTGTGGTGGTGCACGCCTTTAGTCCCAGCACTCCGGAGGCAGAGGCAGGCAGATCTCTGTGAATTCAAGGCCAGCGTGGTCTACATAATGAGTTCCAGGTCAGCTGGGGCTACAGGGAGACCCTGTCTCAAAAAAAAAAAAAAATAATAATAAGCTTCTCTGATCTACTTATGCATGTGTCCAAAAAGAGACCAAGCCAAGCGGTGTCTAGAACAGAAGCTGTACTTCTTGGAGACCTTGGAAGAGTGGGAGAGCCAGAACTCCCATCGCTCTGCTTTCTTAACCTCCTGGTTGTTGACCAGAGTTTCCACTGGGGAAACACTATGAATCTTTAGAAAACTTGCTTTTCTTATAGGATTGTATGAGTGGAACTCTGGGTCTCACAAAGCCATAGAATTAGTAAATGCCCCCCCAGTAACTTATTTATACAGGCAGCCTCCCCTAAAGGCAGCAGGCAGACAGGCAGCAGGCAGACATTGTGAAGGGGTGAATTTGACACCAGAGTGAAGTGGTCGCATTCATTTACACGCTGCTTTTACTTCTCGTTGTCTTTGGATACCATGCTCAGTGACTGCCCTTGTCCCTGTTTCCCTTCTCAGCCTGGCACTCCACTGTGTTTGAAGTGTTCCTGTTTCTCTGTAGCTGGAGGCATGGGCCACTGGAGGAAGCTGCCTTCTCCATGGCCTGGGCTCCTGCTCCTTCCTCCCCATTTTCCCCACTGTCATTTTACTAAAGGGATATGATGGCAAGTTTTGTTTTCCAGCACAGATTGTAAACCTCTGAAGTTTCTCATACAAGAAGTTAGGCAAGAAACTGAAGTTCAGAGAACTAAATAAATATCACCCAGTGTGAGATGGCCACTGAGAGGCAAAGTGTGAGAGCACTGGCACTGGCACTCCAGCTGTGGGCCCTCAGGAAACTGCACAGCCCCTCTGAGCCTCGTTTTTCCCATCTGTGAAAGAGGAATAGTGCTTTCCTTATCCATTTAATTAGTCAGTGTTAAAGGGCCAAAGAATAATTCATATTGCTTTATAAATGAAAAAGTTCTTCATTTAGATACTGAAGAATCATGGGAAGTAATCAGTGCCCTGAAAGGAATCACACCTCATTTCCTTTTCTTTCTCAAATAAGTCAACTGTTACTTAATTTTGTTTCCTTGAATAATGTTTAATTCCCCTTTGCTCTTGTGTAACTTTTTTCATTTGCAATGACAGCAGTCTAAAAAATGTCCCTAAGCCACTCTCACAGGCTAATTAAACAGGCTCTGACTGTGCTTGGGTTCCGGGAGAGTCTCTGGAATAACTCGGCGGTTCTGGAAACATCAGTCCCTCAGTTCTGGATGCTCCTTCATTGCTGACGTTGATGAGAGTGACCCTGCCAAAACCTGATTGGATCAAGCAAATTATACTGGATATTTTTTAACTTGTATTCCATTATTTTATTATAAAAATCTTCAAATATAAATTCGCCCAACCATTTGAAAGTAAGTTATAAGTACCATATAACTTTGTTATTAAACATACTCCTCCTCTAAAATATACATTGTTTTATAGAAGCGCCTTTTCTGTTGTCATACTAAAGAAAATTAACAGTAATTACCTTGGTGTTTCTAAGCTACATTGCAGCTGTGCCTTAATAAACAGCCTGGCTCTTGGCATCATGTTAAGGCCAAGAACAGATCCAAACTGCTGAGAACCTGTCCTTCCGATTCGTCTTGGTACTGTGCTCCCAGCAGGGCTGTGATCATTCTTTTACTGAAACAGTACCTTCTGTGAGAAATGGGCATGTGAGAGTCAGGACCCACCCTTATCAAAGACTCTGCCCTTTGATCCCTAGACCTAGAATATTACACACACACAATACAAAACAGGTGTTCTCAATTTCTCTCATTCTTTGCAGCAGGAAAAGCATGCTGTTTGCAGCACTTTGATGTGTAGAAACATGGGTACGCACATTCATATGTTTTCTTGGCTGGAGGGCAAGGAAGGGTTTCGAGGAATTAAGGTCCTGTGTCCAGGTCACAAGAGAAGCACATGGCTCCATGAGCTTATTTACATTACAAGCAGTAACTTTTTGGTTGCAAGGTTAGGTAAAGGTTATTTGTCCAGAATATATCCATTGTAAGAGTAATACCCATGATTACCCAGTTTTGCCTAGTTGGCTTCTGTCTATTTTGCAATTTCCCTAGTTTTCGGGGATCTTGTAATGCTGCTTGAGAGGGAGCAGATGAGGACCGACCCACAGTCCACTTGTTCAGTTACAACTTCTGTTCCCCCTTGCTCTGGGATGCTCCTTCTCCCCTTTCACCTTTCTACAGTGTTGGCATTTGGGAGAGGTGAGCACTCCTGTTTTACAGAATGTGCTCCTGCATTTCTGGGACCTGAAAGATATAAAGGCTTATTTGTTCATATTAAACTAGTTTCCTTGGCAAGAATACTCCAAAGGGTGATGCTATATATTCCTTGATGCATCACATAAATGCTGAGTTGTTCCTCTGCTAAAAATTAGAAATTTATGTACCCAAGATAGTCCCCAGACAAGGGCACATTTATCCCAGTGCAGTTAGCAAGCATTTTAGGAAGCCACACTGGATGGTGTGCAGGTAGTTTGTTCTCCAGTAACTTTTCTTTTTGTGGCTTTAGCACACATCAGAAAGGATGTGTGACTGAATTATTTCAGGAGTATTTTTGAAGGATGAGTTTCTGGTTCTATTACTTCCCTGCCCCTTTTTT